AGGCCTGGGGTGCTGTGGAAGTGTGGGCATGGTTGTAATTTGGGCTACAAGAACAACAGATATGGGGGGAGTGTAAAGTGTTGGCTGACACTTTCATGCTTTATTTCCAGTTGAAATACTCGTTTTCAGAAAACATAAAGCTGAGAGCCTGGTTTAATCCCAAGGGCCGAGGCCACAAGCTGAGGCCAGGGAGCTTTAATTTATCATGTGCATGTTCTGATGGTCTGGTTAAAACCTCATTCATTTCTGTGGGTGGTCCAGTGCACTGTGAGCTTGACATATTATTTGGGTGTTTTTTTCTTTCATGAAAAGGATACAAGTCTTCTCCCTGCTTGTAACAACATTACAGCTTGACATAGTGTCACAAACATGGGGTGTGTCTGCATGAGTGGCTCAAAAAGAGAGCATCCTTGCTTCTTAAATATTGCATGGCATGCACATCTCTTTGGCGGGTTGATGTTTGTTTGGAAATAAGTCCTTTTGATCCTTCATTTAGTTCTAACCTCTTTCTCCATATCTAATGAATCTATGTAGGTACCTTCTCTAAAGGGTTCAGATATCTGAGAATTTTCTTTTGTTAGCTTTTGCTGCTGCTACTGTGATTTTAAAAGGAAGCGTTCCCAAAGAAAAGGCAGTTCAAAGGAAAGACTGACTCTTCTGCCAAGTTGTTGAACTTCTTCTGTTTGCTGAAGAGTGCCAAACATCAAATTGGCAGAGTATCTTGGAGCTTTTGTTTTTGAAGGTGAAGGGAGAAATTGTAGTCCAAAATACATTTCTTAAAAGTAAAGTATGTAGTATATTTTTAAAGTATTTGAAGATGAAGATCCTCAATGTGTATCTTGTTTTTATGAGCTCCATTGATACTATCAGATCAGCAGATTAATTCTATACTTATTTTTCTAACTTTGTATTGACAAATCCAACCATTCAGAATGAAGATCCATCTTCTGGACAACAGTTTATAAATAATGTATATTTTTAACTGCATTGCGGGGAAAATATATAATAATTTTTGTCTGACTGCTCTTCAGACATCTTTTCAATTTTCTGGAAAGAAGCTGTTGGAAAGCTCAGATTCTTGTGAATGCAGGAGCTAGAATTTGAAAAAAAACTCCCAACTTTGAAACTTGAGACTAAATCCTGACATTTTAACAGCATTGCTGGCCTGGCTCTGCTTTCCTGCACTTTGTCAGCCCCGACTCAGAGCAAAAGTATTTGCCTTCTTCATATCCATTGAATTCTTTTGTCTCTGGTAAGGCAGCTACAAGCTTGGCTTGTGATTCTGGCAGAAGTCATTCTGCAAGGATCTGGTTGATCTAACTTCTATAAATTTGGTGGTTTGAAATGAACTCCAAGAAGACAACGAGACTTTTGTTGTGAGCAGGGCGAGTTCCTTTATATGCGGTCTGCAGCTCATATGTTTGTTTTTAAGTCAGGGCAGTGTGAACTCTTAAAAATAAACAAAGAAGAGAGCAAAATTCCACCACTTAAAAATCAGCCTGAAAATGGTAAACACTTTTAAACAAAGCTGAGAATAATCAGGGGGAAATAATTTGTGGTCTAAAGAAAAATAAGCTCCTGATCCTACCAATAAACACCTGTTCAATTTTATGTGTTTGGTCTAGTGACTGCTGGGGGTTACAGCTCCAGAGCAACTCCACTAGTTGAAGCACAAGTTCAAGAGCCCTTCAGCAGAAAAGTGGACTGCAGGACAAAATAAAGGTTTCTAGAGCTATAAACAAGTTTGAACAGAAAGAAGAGCATCTGGACTATTTTTCCTACATCCAAGCATAAACAACATCAAGCCTGTGTTTTTTAAGTATGGTTTGTATAGCTTTTCAGGTTGAAATAATTTTAAATGAAAGAAGTCTTTAAATTTAATCGTATTTAAATGAAATAAATCTGCCAAGCTGAGAACGTCACCTGAGTGTAAAGGCAGAGAGGCTGAGCTGGAGTTGTGGCTAAGTGGGAACGCTGTGGTGTGCACTCACAGGAACTGTGTTGGCAGGAAATAGTCAATGAAAAAACAAAACCAACAAGGAATGGTGGCCAAGTGTTTTCATAGGGAAAAATTGGCAGGAAAATACCCTTGTATTAAAAGGTATTAAGGAGTGCTCTGCAGAAGGGTAACACAGTAACTTTTATTGCTGGCGTGTTTCTGTTAGTTTAAACGCTTTTTCCCAAAACAAAAATATAAACCAAGCATGTTTTCAGTATTTCTTCTTCCTTTGTTTGGTACTCTGTACAGTTCATCATCTTGCCTGGGACTTCTGTGTAGTACTTCAGTGGAAAAAAATGTCAATATTCCTTTAGAATCTCAGGCTTCATTTATCACTGGCTCTAATTCTTTCCCCCAGCTGATAAACTTTCTGGGGTGCAAACTTATTCAAGTGTATTTTTTATTTATATTTTTTTAAGTCAAATGAATTCTCCCAGAAAAGAGAACATGCCCTCTTCTATAACAACGAACTTTATATAAATTATAATTGTATCCAGAGATCTTTTAGTTTATTCATGTTCCAGGCAGATTCTTTTGTCTACATGAAGAATACAATCTAGCATAACTTCTAATTACTTCTTTTGCAAGGCCCTGTATCAGCATCCACTTTATTATAACCTCTAACTGAAAAAACATTTGTCTATTTTCCCCTCTGTGGACAGTAACAATTTTTTTTCCCTTATAAAAAAGTCTCTTCCATCTGTTTTATGATTAATCCTCATCTGAATTCTTCCCAACACTAGAAATATGGAAACCAGACCGTGGTACAGTCTTGCAGCTTCACAGCCACCTGGTATGCCATATCACAAGCACACAGCTTAAATATAAATCTGATTTATATTGTCAAATGTTTTACCAGAAGAATTGATGATAACTAATGTAGCTGCTACTGGAAGTTCCTGTTATTTTTTTGATCAGATATTCTTTTCCCTTAAAACATGTCCAAGCACAGTAGGACAAAGTGGGTAAAATTAACTCCATAGATTTAATTTAATAATTTAATTTAATAGTGAATAATTTAATTAAACTATTTCAATAGCTGACATATTTTTCAAATGTACTTTCTAAGTAGATTTTCTAAATATTTTCTACTGTTGTACTGGTTAAGGGCCAGCTGGGCATCTTACCAAGGGAATGCTCTGTGTTGTCAGTAGATCTGTAGGACTTGTGGACTTTTTGAGTTGTGGAAGTTGTTTGTTATGCCTTCTGTAATGGAAATATCTAACCTAAAAAAATACTTTTTATGTGAAAAAAAAACCCCACGGATTTACTTACAGAATTTCAGCCTGTGCCACATAATTTAATTTTATGGCTAGTAGACTAAATTTTTTTGTACTGTTGTTGCTTGTTGCCAGTGATGTCAGAGTTAACTTGTGAGATGCAGAAGGTTAAGCTGTGGGTTCAGTTCTGCCTCCTCTGGCCTGGGAGGTGACCATTAGACCTGAGCTAAACATCCTGTTTCTTGATGCAGGCACGTACATAAGTGCCTATGACCAGGCACCTAATTCTGTTTGACAAGAAAAATGGGAAGAAGAAATTATTATCACAAGAAATGCTGCGATACTCCTGCTGCCCTGAGGAAAAACATTGTGAGCATGCCTTATAATGCCTTGAATTGAAGGGAGCCTGTCCTGGAAACTTCAGCACGGTTCCAGGAGAAGTGTCATCCTAGGTAACAGTGGTTTCTTTCCAAGACACTTGTTCCTCTGGGTACAGTTGCTATTTGTAAGTGATTCAGACTAATGTCTCAAAGTCTGGGTGACCCTTCAGTCCTGACGCAGGGCCACTGTGTTAACCTTGCTCTGTCCGTGGGCATTTTGGGCAAGGCAGCTCTTGGGGTCCCCAAGTTTTAGGCCTAAGTGTCAACAGGGATGATACTGTTCTTTGTGAGGTGGGAATATGTCATGCAGTGAATATTCTGCTGTTGGGTGTAGTAGTTTTTAATTCTTCTTCCTCAGCTTATCCCTGGTGCTGCTCACAAGAATATTGCACCGTAAATTAGAATAAATTAGGGGAACTAGAGCTGTGATTTAAAACACTGAGGTTTCCCTCAGTGGCAAAGCTCTTGTTCACTCCAGAGAGAGCAGGATCGTGTCTCCTTTCAGAGACATGCAGCATATTTCAGTTAGTACACATTACATAACTTGTCCCACATTTCTTTCTCTTTTTAGTACCCCTGTGTTATGGGAAATTATGTTCCCATTAATCATTATAGCTGCTCGTCTCTTTCTGTGAAAATAAATTACCCTGTGCTGCCCTTCCTGCACAGGAACATATTTAAATGACAACAAGGATATGTCCATGATTGGTTCAGGGAAGGGAGTGTCAGCTAATGGGGCTTTGCTGCTGCAGAAGGATGAAAGCAGGATTTGTCTGTGCACTCAGTGCATTGCAATGCTGTGTGGTGGTGTCACCTGCCAAATAAGATTTCCCCTGTAGCACATGCCCAGCTCGTTTGAATGTCCATGGAAGCCATGTACACCCATTGCAGGGGGACCTGCAGCTGAGTCCTAAATGTACCAGTGAATCCCACTGCCTGTTTGGTCATGCCTACAGCTGAAAACTCTTGGGCTGGAAAAGCAGAAAGAACCTATATGACTGGGAAAAACCAGCAGGCCTCTAAATTCCTGTTTTAGTTTGTCACCAGCTTTATTGAGACTGTTTTTAGGAAGCATTTAAAACCTAGACATCTAAAATTACACATCCAACACCACGTTCAGGCTGCAGATCAAGAGGCTGATTTTAAGACATGATGGGCATTTGTGCTGTTTACTGTTTTCAGGTCTCAGCACTTCTGAAAAGTAAGTAATTTTTATTTACATGTTTTGAACATGAATTTAGGGACTTACCTTATCCAACAGTGTAAATATAGAGGCCAGGTTATTTTTAGGCTTCACAATGTGATACTGGGCAAAAGGACTTTTGACACAGAGATTGCTGGTCACCAAACCACAAACTTGGACCAACATTTTTCGGTAACTCTCTGTTTCTCTTTATTCAGGACATGTGAAGACTGAGAGAGCAAGTTAAAGGCTGGTTGCAGATGATCCTTAGAGAACAGATCCTCTATCAGGAGGTCAGTTTTCTCCAGTGAAGAGATCTGAGGAAAATTCACCCTCAGGACATACTGAGTTTTCTTTTCAAGTATTTGTAAGAAATGAATTCAGGATTAGTTTTACGTGGAAAATGAGTTTCTTATTTGGCCTCTGAAGAGAGATGAATTTGCATTGGTCTTATGGAAGAACACATGTATTTTTGAAAATGAGTATACAGTACAAAAAAGACCAGAAGTTTTAGGTCAAAATGGGTCCATTTCATTCAGACAATTAAGTACTTAAGAATCAAACTCTTCTGCTGACCTTCAATTCTGTGCTGAGAGATGAAATCCTTACATAGTGAAGGTAGCAGAAATTAAGAAGACATGTAAATAAACTTGCTGGTCATCTTCAGCTGACAATCATGTGACCAAAGCAAGTGATATTCCTCTTGCAACCCTGTAATATTTGCTGACATTCCAGGCATTGAGTGTCAGTGAATGGCTTGTGAAGCAGGGACATCTGGATGTGTTTTAAAAGCTTTCAGAGATTATTAAAGTAGCAGAATGATTATTTATTAGTAAGGTGACACGTCTAAAGCTCAAAGTCTGCCTTTGACATTTGCGAGGGTTCTTCCCAAGGTTTTTTTGCATAGGCAGACTCAGTATTAGCAGAGAAGATGTGGGATCTATTGATTTTGTGGGTTTTTTTCCCAATAATGAGTCATGAGATGTAAACCTCATTTCTGAAATTATGGTCTGGCTGAACTAGTTTCCTGTTTGATGTTTTCGTTTTCAAAGAAGCTTAAGAGTTTCTGTCTTGTCACTGTTAATTACCAACCATCTTTGGTGAATTTTCACTAAATGGCACTGATGATGTTGTTGTTCTGCTTTGTGACTTCTCCAGTGTCTGGGAATTTCCTGGTGATCCCATTAACATTGAAGTTAATTGGAATACTTCATGGTTGAAATGCAGAAAGCCTGCAGTTGAGCAGATGTTCTTTTTCTGAGTTAGCATAAAAGTACTGAATTAGAAGTACCATTTATTTGTTGCAGTGTCATCAAGATGTGTCATGACCTTACATTTGAAAAGTTTGAACACTGTTCCCAAACCCATTTAAAAGGCTCTGCTTGTTGGTGCCTAACCTGATTACATGAGATTGAATACTGTATCATTAGATTAAGCAAGTATTAACTTCAAAACTGCAACACATCACAACTGAAGAAGTGTTACTACATTATACCCCCAAATACACCTTTCAGTTTGACCCTTTGAAGTGCAAAATGTTGTAGTAGTTTTTGCACAGTGTAGAGAACAGCTCCTATACTACTGTGCAGTTGTTTTAGGGATAATTTCTCAGTTTGTGATTAATTCTTGGCATTTCTTCCATTTCTTTCCTTTAGCTGTTATTGGAATCATGCAGATGAGATCCCTCAAGGAGCAGGTTGCCACAGTAAGTGTGTATTTTACAGTATATTTGGAAGGTGTACAATAGATTGGATACTATTCTTTACCAAGTAGGAGCAACAACCTTGGAAGTAATCCTTGCTGGATTACACCATCATTAGTCTGCCCCTTAAATTTTTTTTTTATAAAAAGTAATTTACTGCATCCAAATAAATATGAACTCAAATACATAACTCTTCAACATGAAGATTCAAAGACCAAATTTTGATCCATAGTTCCATCTCTGCAAGAAGACATATTTTAAAATAGAAGGAATACATCACTCCTGAAACCTGCTGTATTTCCTCTCAGTCTTACTGCTTTTAATTCTTTCTTCACAGATTCATTTAGTTTAGAAACATTCCAGGACTAATGGCACAAAACAAAACTCCTAACCATCTCATATATTCCACTTCACAAGAGCCCAACCATGCCATAGATATTTTCCATTCTCAGTCTTGATATTCTACAGATGTGGAATTAGAACTCTTCACACTTTTAAGGGAACGCCTGGTGGGATTGTCCATGTGAGTTTAACTTCCTGAGTAATTTCTCCATTACTTTAGCTCCCCTGAATGTGGGCATTGTGCCCAGGGGGGTAACACTTGCTGTACCGACCCTTAATTCAGATAAAGCTCAAAAAGTACACTACAAGAATAAAAGTCATTGGTGCAGGACTCAGGGAGTTCCCTCGAGCTCCCTTTCATCTGAACTCTGACAGAAGCTATTCTTCAGTTATTGCACTAGGAAAAAAAGGTGTGTATGATATAGAGAGGACACACATAAATGCAAAGGCTGAAGGTTTTTTCCCTAGGGAAATTTTCTCTTGGTGCTTTGATATTTGATTTAGGGCAGATAGCCATGACCTGTAGCCATAGGAAAGAAGAGGCCTGGATGAGCAATTAGGGAGGACAGATCCAATGTGTTTGCCTTTTTCCCTGTATTATATTTACTGTTAGAAATGAAATTCAAATAAACAGCTATATAATACTGTCATTATCCTCTTTGATACTGGATGATAACTTGGGCCTGCATGTCAAGAAAGCTGCAAACACCCAAGTCTGCATGATTTTTGTCTGTGCATATAATCTATTTTAATTATGCCAACTTCCTTCTCTTTCCCCCAGATGCTGTGCCTTAGTATCTTGCGTGGAAATGGCTGGTATTTTATATCATATCTACAGTGCTGAAATTTGTGGACAGGTATTCATATAAACTTACTGTATGTTTGGTAGTTATCCTAAGACTGTTCCTTACTGCTGTGCTTTTAAGGAAGATTCATTAGAAGTGGGTGTGCTGTTTTCTGTTCAAGTATTTGTTGTCTTTTCTTCTTTTTCCAGAAGATTTCTATTTCCAGGAATTAGCATCGCTAACTCATTATAACAGATTTTTTTTCTTTGAGCTTTTTGTTTATAAAAATGCTTTGCCAGCACACTGATTTTGTCTACATTTATTGTTATGCCACCTGTTTGGAAGCAGAGGTTAATTGTTAACTCCACTTTGTTGAGAAAGGGGCAAGTTGGTCAAGTTTTGCTCACTCATTTGTAAGTTAATCATGCGACTTCATATTACAGCAGTTTTCAAGGAGTCACAAGAGAAACTCTTACACCATCTACAATGACATAATTTTTCATGTGTGTCACCTTTTCCATAGGTTAGTGGAAGAAACTCTGATGCCTTTGAATATGGCTGTGCCATTCTTTTTCCTTTAGTGGCACAGCTGAGCACCTGGGTAGCAGCTGAGTGTCTATTTTGCATCACTGTTGAGACAGATACAAAACCAACATGTGCTCCTTAGTAACAGACATCAGACTGAAGACATTGCCAGTGATGATTTATCAGTGGCTCGTGAGGAAACTCATGATGTAACAGAATCTTCTGATTTTGTTTATTTGGATGAGTTTTGTTTGCTTTATTATAGACTTCAAGTGAGGCCAGAGTGGTGACTCGGTGCTTTCATTGTGATAAGCAAATGCACACTCCCCTTTTATTCTGGCTTTTTAAACTACTCCTTCTACTGCCCTTTGAGGTTCATCTCTGTTCACTCAGCTGTGGTTACTATAAGTAAACAACTCCAAAGCTTCCCATTCTTTCAGAATTTGTTGAAGTTTGTCTGGCAGATTGGGCCATAACTCGATCAGTGTCACGAATTACTAGATTGTTTCTTCAAAGGATTTGGAGCTTCCTGGCTATTTGTTTGCTGAGCTGTAAGAATATGATTGTGCTGGTTGTGAAGTGTGCATTGCTGCTATAAATAGTCAGTGGATTATAGGTGAAGGCAAGAGCCAGGAATGCCTGAGTTGAGGTCCAGTGTTGCCATTGTCCCAACAGCCCTGGGCAATGCACATGTTCTCTCATTGTCATGTTTTCTTCCATTTGTGCAGCGGGATAATGACGTCTGTCCACCCCATGGGGTTGAGGTCAGGAATAATTAGCTTGTATTTCTATGGCCCTCATTAAATAGGGTTGTAGGAATACCTCCTATACCATCTTCTTTAGCTCAAGCTGTAAAGTTTTTATGGCATTTGAGTTCTGCTTCTGCTCCAGTGTATATGTGGACACGCTGATAATGGCACTGTCTGGTGTCCAGACAGTTCTCCAACTGTGCCATAGCTTCTCTGTTGAAATTGAGGCCTTGTCAGGGAGAGGAAATAATATGGATTATATGGATTGTGTACCATTGCCCTCTGTTGGACAACACTAGGCTTAGTTAAAGTGCTTGTCCTGTTTTGCGCTTGAAAAACTTGAGAGAGATAAATATGATAATATTCAGTAAGTAAGTTTGAAGTGTTTAGTGACAAATTGACCATCTTGTAACAGAAAATAAATGAAATTACCTAGCCAGATTAGTTATTGCTGCTAAGTACAGGACTGCATAGAGTCTTTACACTGCTGAGTGTCCGTAACATGCTGTTCTGCTTTGCTTTTGAATAAAAGACAAGAAAATTAAGTATAATACCTTTGATTTATTTTTATTTACTGGCATAATATGCCAGTGGGCTTAGCACTGTTGCCTACTGACTTGTCTAAGCTCTGTTTTCTTGTGCTCTCCCAGCTGTGTTTCTGTCTGTGCCATTGTGTGACAAAGGGACCGGAGTCAGCTGTTCTGGGGGTTGCACCAGTCCCTAAAACACAGAGGGAAATAAAAGCTTGGAAACCTACCCCATCCTATGGTCTAATATGATAGAATCTTTTTGCTTTACTGGTAACACACGATTTTATTTTAATTCCTGTGGTTTTGCCTGTTTTTTAGTTTAACTATGCTTTTTTAGTAGGTTTATATGCTTTGTCAAAAAATACAATGCATCTCATACACACTAGAGCATCCGAAAGGGAGATCATGAATAATGGCAAAAATTTTGAATGGGAAAGAAACAAATATAAAAGGCACAAACAGTCAAATTATTATCTGGGGAAAAGAGTTACAATGTGCCCTTAATCCTCACTGTAGTTGTGAACTTAGTCCTGAAGCACCTTTGTTTTCTCTGCCCTCCTGTACAGTTTATGGCAGAGCATTCAAAGGAGTAGAAACTGTTACAAAGGTCACAAGGAAAAAAATAAAGCTACTGTTGCTATTCTCTGAATGTTATCCATTTGGATTGCTGCCATCCAAACCTCTGGTCATCCTGCTACTCATTTGAGGTTAAATACACAGGAGTCACATCTAACTCCAGTAGTGTCTGCCCAGAACACAGTGATCTGTATCTAATTCTGCAGGGTAAATAACAGCTCACTAAAATACAGGAGGAGATGAGTGGGGATCTACTCCTTTGAGAAACCTCCACAGTGATTTTGAAAAAGCATCTACCTAAACTTCAAGATCTTTTTGGCTGCCTTAATAACAATCATCATCTCTTCACTGTCCTTGGGTGGATCATCTGGTCTGTTGTCAATCCATGTCACAAGTACAGAACTGTCCAGTCTGACCTCTACAAACCTAGATGGGTTCAGGGCGATGTCAGCCTGTGTCTGGGGTGCTGGGACTTCATTTCTCATACCAGATCCAGCCTGGGTAGAGGAGGAGCAAATTCAGGTGCAGCCCTGCAAGAACATGGTTCCAGAGCTTCTGAGGCTGGGCTGGCATTGCACAGCCAGGCAGCACAGTCCCACAGCCATTAGTCCTCTCAGAATTCACTGCACCAGGATGTGCTGTAGCACAAAAACCACTTCAGATCCAGAAAGAGAGCTGTGTATTCTGTTTCTTTGTTTGCCTTTTCATTTTACTATCCAACTTAATGAGGTGTTGCTTGTAACTTAACCGTGTACTTATCCTAATGTGATCAAAATTAAAATTTCACTTCCTGTAACAGCTTCACCCTTTAAAAAAATAATTCACATGCCAAAGATTTTGCAATAGTTGTACTGAAGAAATACTTGTATAAGTAGAAAGAGAGAGAGGGACATGTATAATCACCTGCCTTCCTGCACTCTCCACTCTGTCAAAAACTCTTTGATCCTCATCTATCCATATATCCTGTAGACTTAGCATCCAGCCCACCTATTTTATGCATTTATTTGGGGATGGAGTTACTCTCTTTTTAAGAATGCCCCTCCTCATTGATTGTACAGGAGGCCAAGACAGTAACTTGAGCCTCAACAGAGTCCCAGCTGAGATAACTCTCCGTATGTTTGCACATAGAAAAGAGCAAGTTCCTAGCAGAAGGTGACATGAGAAAATCTGGTTGGTGCCTTATTGTTTTGTCAATCACATTTTTATCCTACAGGCTTCACAAATGTACCAAACTGCTGACACCAGTCCAGTGCTTGTGAATTCACAACCAGTTGTGATTTGTGGTACTGCACATTTCTCTGTGAGGTGAAATCCTTGCCCTGCTGACATAAGTGGTAAATTAGCAAAACTCCCAGTGTCTTAGCTGGGATCAGGATTTAGCTCCATGCGGTCAAAGGATTTTTGTTGCCTTGTTGTCCTGTTCTTGGTGTTTCTTTGAACTGCATTTTTCTGAGGGCATATGGATTCAGTAGGTAGATTTATTAATTTCTATGTTG